CTCTTTGGTTTTGAGACTTTAGTCTTTGCAACTTCAGGGATCTTATCTATGTACAATCAGCTTGTAACACTCCAAAGAGAAAGGAAAACTTGAAATCGCATCATATGACCCCTTTAAGAATCAAGCGTATGTAAACTTTTGAACAGGGTAATTTTTATAAATTCAATTATTAGTTTCTCTTGTGGACTATATGCAAACGTCTTTTATGTGAAATATCTTATTCAGGTCAGTACTAAATAAAAAAAAAATAACATGCATTTTGTATGATCCCTCTTATTTTGGTAAAATAATCAACATGTTGCAGATACATTTTGACCACTACTGTAAATGTCTTTTTTGCTAGTACTTAATTGACATGTCTAATTGAAATGTCTGAATCATGCTTGAAGAAAAATTTGATCTCTGTTTGCACTTTGAATACTAACACTTATTGTTTGCACTTAAATATTACTAAGAAAAAACCTTGTGGAACAATTTGTGGAAAGGAATTAAGTTAGAAGGTCAGAAGTTCTAAAAGCTCATAATTCATGTACAGTTCTAAGGTCTGAAGAGACTTGTACAGAGGAGAAGCCTGTCGAGTTTGTGGTAAAACCTTTTACAGTGCTTGGATATTGTTGTCTTTTACTGCATATGATAATTCTTACTCATCAAGAAGAACTGAAATTACATTCAATACAAGATGATTAGGTAAAACTTTTCAAATGCACCTGCAGACTACTGTTCCAGTCATGTATTTCATCGAGGATTTCTTAAAAATACTGTGTAAAAATCCAATCTCATGCCTCATCTCTTGAGCTAAGTGTCCTGTCACACCCCTAATAATAACATATGTAATTCATGCTCCTACTGCTTATATTTCTATCTGTACACATCTGTCAATCAGACTTAACTTAACAAACAATACAGATTTCAGCAAGTCTTCAATTATTCTCACATTCTAATGACTACAATGTTGAAAATGTTGGATATGAATCTAACGTCATAATATCTGGCTGTCCAGACATATGGAAATATAAAACAGTAGGAAAAGAAAAATGTGTTCTGAAAAAAATGTTAAGAAAAGTTATATATATATATATAAAAAAAAAAAGTCAAGGCAACATGGTCATGATTTGTGTTAAGAGTAGATACCTTTAGCCAAGAGATGTTTTTGTTAAAGCAGCTACAAAATCCAGCTATTTCTTTCTGTTTTTTTGGTAAATAGTGCTTGGTTAGCAAGACATTTTGCTGTCATCATTTCATCTTTATTATAAATGTTATAATAAATGTTATTACAAATTTTAGAGCCTTTACTCTTATATTTCAAACCGCTCATTTACTATATAAACATTTCTGGTGTTTGTCAGTGACTAGTTATACTATAAATAATTTTGAGCGGTTAGAGCGGTTAGATGATGAGCTCATGCTGAGCCACAGGGTCATGTGACATGTGGTTTGAGGTTAAGGAGTCTGGCCTGTGTTATGTGATTCATAATTCCTAAGACTTATAATGAAGATGCAATGATGACAAATCAAAAATATATTGTGTGGCTGAGAACTCTTTTCCTATAAAACATTTGACAAGAATGTATAGTTGAGCTATGTGGATAATGTGTCCTGTGTTTTTTTGTTTTGTTTGTGGCTCCACCAGGCAGGGCATGAGTTGCGTGCGGCTCAGACTGAGTTTGACAGACAGGCAGAGGTCACATGCCTCCTGCTGGAGGGCATCAGCAGCACACACGTGAGTACCTGCGCTTCTCACACTCGCACTGCCTTCATTTTGGACATTACGCAAACAAAATGAGTTGCAGTGCCACCGTTCAAAAGTTTAGGGTCTGTGTGTTTTTTTTGGAAAGAAATTAATTCTTAATTAATACTGCTTGTTATTCAGCAAAGACACATTAAACTGATCAAACGTGAAAGAATCCTGAAACGTATCACAGCTTCCACAGAAATATTGAGCAGTTTTCAACATTGCTAATAATAAAAATGTTTCTTGAGCAGGAAGCATTTCTGTGAACTCTTCAGCAAAGGCTGGAGAGTATTTTGGACAGTCTTCAGTCAGTCATACTACACTGACTGAAGACTGAAGCAGTGGCTGCTGAAAATTTAGCTTTGCCATCACATGAATAAACTGCATTTTAAAATATATTGTAAAAAGGAAAACATTTTGGTGATTTATTGTCTGTTTTTTATTTGAAAAATTGTGACCCCAGTCTTTTGAACAGTACTGTAGACTAGTATATCTCTTTCCAAGTAAGGAAAGAGACTTTTAAAATTGTGCAACTCCATCACAGGTGAACCATTTGCGCTGTCTGCATGAGTTTGTGGAGGCCCAGGCTGCTTATTACGCACAGTGTCACAAGCACATGCAGGATCTTCAGAAAGAGCTGAGCAGGTGAGAACTTCAGTGAGGTGCTGCAAACTTCAAAATAAACATAAACAGCTATTTGTTCTTCTGTCCTAAAGCGATTGTAGTCAAATAAGACCATGTTTTACAGGAGTTGCATGACAGTTTGGTAACATTAGTCTATTTTTATTATAGAGAGATGTGCTAAAACAAGTTGTGAGTAACACATTCCCCTTTATGGCAACTGCTTTTCTAGAAAAGACTTCTTGAGATCATCTTTGAGCTGATGATTTTTTTTCTGCTTTTTCTTTCCTGTTCTCAGTGCAAACGGAGATAAGTAAGTAACTTTTTCCATCACACTGAAAAAGGAAGAAAGTTAGCCCACTAAATTTAAACGATTACATTCATGTGACCAAGGGATTTTAAGTCTTTCGCCTTTTATATCATATCTGTGTCATGTGTGAGCAACAGCTAGATATTTATATCTATTCGCATACACTTACTGTAATAGATGGCTGCATTATGACAAGAAATAGTATTGAAGTCTGACACAGTATTGGCTCTGACAGGGAAAGCACTAACAGGTGTTATTTGGAGAAAATAATCTAATTGGGATTTTTTTCTGGTTAAACTCGCATTTTGTGATTTAAAAAGTGATTAAAAAAAACAATTAACAAAAAACAATATAATGTATATTATAATGTATATGTAATATATAAGATAACAATACTAATTTTATTTTACAGAAAACTATTGTTTTACAAAAAACTGCAGGATTACTATAGTTAACATACAAGCAGCCTATAACTGTAAATCATATGATACTTTTATGATAAAAATCTTTGACAGTAATTCTTAATTTTTATCAGGAAGTATGTCAAATCAAAAACGGAGTCCATATCTTTAATATGAAATAGGCTTTGAGCCTTTTATACATCCACTGTGGGGGGTGGAGAAGTGTACTCCAGTATACTTCTATACACTGAAGAAAAACATGGATTATCATATATTTACTTCAAATTTCTTTAGAGAGAAGTATTATTTTTCCTATTTATGCCCAAAATAGGACTGAGTGCGCATTATTGAGCCCTAAAGACAATAGGGCCAGATTTACTAAACAGGGTCAATGGGAGTGGAAATTTCTGCGGGGTGATTTACTGACAACGCACAAGTTAAAGAACACCTAAAGAATGCATCTTTAGTAAAAGAACGCGTCTTTAGTAAATCCTGACAGTACTATATTAACGCCAAAAGGCGGTTTGCACTGGCGTAAGCTGTAAGTAAATATGGCCCGTACCAATGTCTGTTTTATTCATACTGGCAGCCGGAGGGCGCCCTCGATCACGCAGAAACTCCACAAATGCAACACAGAAGTAATAGAACTCCTGACACTCCAGGAAAAATTCCTAATATGGACAAAGGCATTGCTTTCGCTGTAGCTGAATAAAAAGAAGATAGAAACGCTTGAACTGATTAAACAAGGACACTACACCCATGAGTGCGACAATATATGGTTTATCTGTGTTCTTCAAGCCATCTTGGGTTTTTCATAATAATAAAGTCAATTTATAATCCATTGCTAATTGGCATAGCCTTTATTACAGTATAGATTATATTTTCTGCCTCATTCTGTGATAAGAAGCCACATCAGATCAGAAAATGAAGTTATTTCAAACTCTTGACTGATATTGTGGACTAAAATCATGTTATTAAATGTTCTCTTTTGTTGGACATCAGGTTTATAAATACTTCTCAGTAAGTTTGGGAAGATTTGGCACTTGACTCAAAATCAGCGCTTGCGGAGATGTGTAGCATTTACTACTGATGCTGCGTGATATATATATATATAGTACCAGTAGATGGCGGTAATGTGATCTTGTAACAAGACGCTGTGCTGCTTCAGTCTATTGCAGGTTCACAAAATAGAATGTAGCTAGTATCACGCTACACTGCTGTTTGCTGGAAAAAGTAGTTAGCTACTGGAAACACTACATTGTTTTAAAAGTAGCTGAGCTATTGTCAAGCTACTGAAAAATGTAGTTACGTTAGTAGTGTGGCTACTTGTAGCTAGCTACTCCCCAACACTGTCAGTAACATTCATTATATTAGTATTAGTGGTTTTAGTAAGTTTAGTATGTACCGTAATGAAAATGTATTGTATTTATTAAAGGGGACATCGGATGCCCATTTTTCACAGGTTGGTGTGATTCTTTAGGGTCTTCGTGAAATGTCTGCAACATACTTTAGTTAAAATTCCCCAATGGTCAACACCCTTTTTTGTCAAAAACAACTCTGTTCACAGTGACCCGTTTCGCTGAATGTCTCTTTAAATGATAATAAGCTACTGCTCACTGACCCCCTCTTCAGTTTTTGTGTATTTGGTGGCTCATTACCATCAAAAACAAAACTTGCAGCTCAAAACTTCCACTGCGTCCTCAGTGGCTCTGATGTCAGAAGAAAAAGAAGAATGTTTCACGCCACAAGCTTGAGCTTCGCGTCAGCTTCACGTCGTCACTGCAGCTGCAGACGCACGAGGGTATTCACACTGGAAGAGTTTGTACAGCGTCACAGCAGCGGCTGCTCACGCTTGTGCTGTGAAACCAGCCTTATGTTCACTTTTACATCCAAAACCATCAAACCACCTGCATTGCTTACGAGACATGTAGCTACAGCTGCTCGAGTGTGGAAAAAATGACAGACAGTGTACAACTAGCTGAGGGCGGAAATATGCTGTCGTGGGCGGGGTCTGAGCAGTATGACGTCATAACTCAAAACAGCTTGATAATTGAGACTGTTTAGGTTTTTAAGGCGTGAATTGATTTTTTTTTTTTTATCATTCTGCTTCTGTCCACACAGTGCTAAGGCAAATTTATATGCAAAGTGAAACTACATGTAAAAGTGAATTGTGCATCCGATGTCCCCTTTAAGAACTATTTTATTGGGAAATGTTTACCTGTAGTGTAAACTATGGAATTTGTGGAGTTATTTAATTTGAACAAATTGTATTATATTAAAATGTATTGTTTTTATTATAACTATTTATAATGTAATTATTATAAAAATATAAATAACAGATATTTTATTTTTTAACCCTTCTCTTTTTTTAATAAATGACTTTCTTTTGTAGTTCTCTGTATTGTTAGTAAGTGCTTTTTTTGTTTCTTGCCTATCATGGTCAGTTTAAGCTACAGTTTACTTACAGTCTCTGTGACATTGACATTTGTTTAATGAAATGGGCTTGTAACCTAAAGGTTTTAGGTTTGAACCCTGCCAGACAGTGTCATATGATTCAACCTCACAGACCCGTCTCGGATATGCAGGCCTATGAATCTTAATCCTCAAAAGATGTCAAAAGGGGTGACTGCAAATGTGTATTTCTTAATACACGTCTGTAAACCACTGTTTATACATGTCTGTTGTTACAGTATACTTGAATGAATTGAATGCGTCTGGAGGACTGTGCCCATTGCAACACAGTCAGCCCTCATCAAAATGTCTACTTCATTTTTTTCTTTCTCTCTTTCTTTCTGTTATTCTGTAGCTTATTACTGTGTACACGGTGCCCGGCATGGACCCGGACTGGCTTATTGGAGAGCGAGGCAACCAGAAAGGCAAAGTGCCTGTCACATACCTGGAGCTCCTGAGCTAGATGCCTCGTCCTCTTCACAAATACAGAGTCACACTGAATTATGCATGAACAAATACTCAAGCACTCCTGAACACTCAATGAATTTATCTGGTTTCTTTCTTTATTTTAATTTTTTTGTTACTGTGCATAAATATGTATTATTGTTTTTTTTTAGGCCCTATTTATGTTCTATGTGTATGTTGTTTCAGTTGAACACTATCCTGCATAAGGTCTTTCTTTAAGTAACTGCTTTTATTTCCTTTATGATCCTGTGACTGCTATATTTTTCTGAAGTCTTTCTTACCCTCCAAGTGAAGAAAACAAACCGAAAAGCTTTTGTGTTGGAGCTGGATCTGTGTGTGTGTGTGTGTGTGTGTGTGTGTGTGCACGTGTGTGATCATGAAGACACTAAACATTTAGGCTTTGCTTCTTTGCGTGTCGTCTAGCTCATCATGCTTGTATGCTTATACGGTCATGGTTTGATATCAGCACTTTTGATTCCAAATGCAGCATTTTTTGTCCGTGTGTTTTGTCAGTGATTGAGAAGATTGTGAAGGTATTCGGTGCTGTTATGATGTACAGTATGTGGTTAACTGTGATCTGATCATATTCAAAAGACTGATTTTCTTTACCTCCAGAGAACCGGCTTTACTGATAAGATGCGCGTTAAATATCGCATGCAATTTATCGTGCAGCCCTACTCCAGTGGTACTTATTCACATCTGCTCAGTCATCACCTTCCCACTTTCATCTTTGTGTTCTTTGCTTGTTGCAAAAAGCAATGCATATTAAATGAATACAATTGAAATATATAATAAAGAGAGATTTACTGGGTTTTGATCTTGATGTTGTCTTTCTAATGGGGCTTGTCGTCTAAAGTACTTAGCGTTGAGATATTATCAATGACTGGCTTTTAATTCTGACTCTGGTAGGGTTTGCTGTTGGAGTTTGTTGTGATTTACTAATGCATTGAGGGTCATGCTGGTAACTTTACTCCAGTACTGCACTGACAAGTTGGTTTTGGAAAACATTGCAGTGATTGTGCAAGATAAGTCAAGTTGTTTTTCTTTTTTCCTACCATCACTCAGAAGGAATTTTGGAATCTTCTCTACACAATTCCTAACATGATTTTTAGCATAACAACATTGCTATAAAATTAATCTCACATTACCAGTGGTGTTTTAGTATCATTAATATGCTATCATAGTTTTTGTTAAAATTTTGAATTATGTGTTTGTTTTGTGTTTGTTTATATTTTAAATTTTATATACAAGTTTTAGCGATTTTGTTGTGTGCTTTGGCCATTTTTGGTCAGTTTTTCAATGTCTGTATACTTTTTTATACGTTTTTAGTTTTAGTTTACTTATTTTTAGTTATTTTATTACTTGAAAAAAAATGAATATGTATATATATATATATATATATATATATGTATGTATATATATATATATGTATATGTGTATGTGTATATATATATATATATATATATATATATACATATACATATACACACTACCATTCAAAAGTTTGGGATCAGAACGATTTTTAATATTTTTTAATGCTTTTATATGCTTTTTTAATTTTTTTTGCTGGAAACTGTTGTGCTGCTTAATATTTTTTTGGAACCTGTGATACTTTTTTTCAGGATTCTTTGATGAATAAAAAAGTTAAAAAAGAGCAGCATTTATTTAAAATAGAAATATTTTCTAACAATATACACTGCTGTTCAAAAGTCTAGGGTCAGTAAATTTTTATTCTTTCTTTTTAAAAAAAAAGAAATTAAAACTTTTATTCGGCAAGGATGTATTAAATTGATAAGAAGTGATGGCAAAGATTTATATTGTTAGAAAAGATTTATATATTGAATAAATGCTGTTCTTTTTAACTTTTTATTAATCAAAGAATCCTGAAAAAAGTATCGCAGTTTCCAAAAAAAAATATTTGGCAGCACAACTGTTGCCAACATTGATCATTCTAATCATAAATCAGCATATTAGAATGATTTCTGAAGGATCATGTGACACACTGGAGTAATGGCTGATGGAAATTCAGCTTTGCATCACAGAAATAAAGTATATATTAAAGGATATTAAAATAGAAACCATTATTTTATATTGTAATAACATTTTGCAAGATTTCATTTTTTTTCTGCATTTTTGATCAAATAAATGCAGCCTTGATAAGCATAAGAGACTTCTTTAAAAACCTTACAAGTCTTACTGATCCCAAACTTTTGACCGGTAGTGTATATATATGTATATATATGTGTGTGTGTATAAACAAAAGCTTGTCTAGTGGTCCAAAGCTTTGGCTGGTTGTTGAAAACAATGAATTCACAATAAGATTTCTTGTCTGCTACTCGAAGTCAATAAAAACTTTCTGCAGTTGGAGGTTTGTTAAATAGCAACGGTTGTCATGCTAAAAAAATATTGGTTACATTTAAACTCTAGTTGATTGGTTGTTACAGTGCACAGTACTAAGTATTGAATGCTGTTGATGTTGTCATTCTGGTCAGTGATTGCTTCACATGACACAGCTGCATCAGTTGTTGCTTAACATTAGTAAACCATCAACAAGTTGTAAGGTGGTTATTGATGTACAGTTATACACTTTATACAATTTGTCAAAGACTATTTTTCACAAGTTACACTACACATTGTCTTGTAATCTTGTAATGACATCTATATGGTTCTTTTGATGGAGTGTTTGCGTCTCTCTAGTATTTCAGTTATCATGTAGAAGCAGGCGTTGACCTTCTCCTGCGGAGGCGGTGTTTAGCCACACTATTACATCATAAAGTGGCACATTCCAAAACGAGTGATTTTTCTGAGCTTGGTTATAATAAAAGCTGTTTTTAAACTAAAGAGAAAGTTTTGAGTTTTGAAATGTACAGGATGTTTTATAGTACATTGACCTGTTATATGTTAAAAGATCAAGGGAAATTTGATTTCTCAAATCATGACCCCTTTAAAATGATCCAAAGAGCATCTTGAGCTCTACAGGAAGAATATCAAACGGTCTGTACAAATAGTCACATGATTAATGTCGCACATTTGCTTATTAGTGACCTCATCTCAATCTCAAAAAATTGGAATTTTTATTTATTTTTTTTGCTGTATGCAGTACTAAAGTTGAAGGTGTAGAACCTGACTGTAATAAAGATACGATTAGGTGATGGCTTAACACAAGCCTATATTATAAGGAATGTCAAACAATGTTATGCAAAGGATCCAAAAATAAACCCTAATAAAGTGTTCAAAAATAAACTGATCAAACACAATTTTTCCATTTGCCATCTAATCTACTGGAAGCCCATCTTGTGATTCATTCAAATATTTGTACAGATAGTGTACAAAGTTGCTTTACATTGGTTTTCATTTCCCCACTAATTTGTCTGGCGGACGTAATGCTAAGATAAGCCTTATCCATCAGTTTCCAATTTCCAGTGTGCTCCACAATATTTTGCCTTATGCATCTTGAATTTATGTATTAAGTTCATTACTGAAGCAGGTTGGCACTAGCATTGAATTTTGTCATTTCTGACCTGGTTTATCAGTATTTCTGGGTTGTCCTGATAGCGTAACTCTTTAAGGTTATGCCTTGCACATCACCAGAATTAGACTCAGGAAAACATATTTGCTTCAGTTTTAGCCATTCTTGATTTACTTGTCTTCTTGTTTCATTCTTAAAGGAATAAATCACCCAAAATGAAAATTCTGTCATTAATTTACTCATCCTCATGTTGTTCCAAACTTGATAAAATCCGAGAGCTTTCTGACCCTGCATAGACAGAAATGTAACTGAAATGTTCCCAGGCCCAGAAACATAGTAAGGACATGGTTAAAATAGTCCATGTGACATCAGTGGTTCAACCGTAACTATACTAATCTACAAGAATACCTTTTGTGTGCAAAGAAAACAAAAATAATGACTTTATTCAACAATTCTTCTCCCGGTCACCTGTCCCTTTAAATGGTTTGTTCACCCAAAAATGAAAATTAGTCACCCTCAAGTCACCCTAGGTGTATATGACTTTCTTCTTTCAGACGAATCCAGTCGGAGTTATATTACGTTTGTTAACGGGAACAAAGGAAGCAGTTTCCTTACTTTAGCAAAGGAAAACCAGTCTCCTCTTGGCTTATATCGAAATCCTCTGACATTCTTCTTTACAAATCCTCGTTTTGTACTTCTAATTCGTGACCGTTGTTTTGTTTTGATCTCTCCGCTGCGCTTCCGCGTTCGTCACTTCTGAGCGGCGCATGCGCAAAGCCGACCTCCATACGTCATCCGCCCGGAACTGCTTCCCGTGTACAACAGTGAGCGCAAGCTACATTAAAGTGATTATTACGTTTTGAATATGGATATTTTTCTTACAAAAACGCATCGATTCGCTACAGGAGGCCTTTGTTCACACCCCAGAGCCGTGTGTTTTTTTTATGGATGGGCGCTTTTTATTTTACTTCTTTTGCACTGATGCATGCAACACCCGCTGACTGCAATGATAGAGCTTGGAATAGCCAGGACAATTTTTAATATAACTCCGACTGGATTCGTCTGAAAGAAGAAAGTCATATACACCTAGGATGCCTAGGGGGTGAGTAAAACAGCCTAATTTTTATTTTTGGGTGAACTAACCCTTTAATGAAGTCAGATTGTGTTTGTCTATAATTGTGGCTTTAGGTGGAAATCATGGCATGCTTGGTAATCAGCACAGAAATCTAGATATTTTCAAAGGCTTCACAAACGTATTCTTGCCACTGTATCTCAAATGCATTCATAATGATTTTACAGTACTGATTTGCCTCATTAATGAATTTTGTTTCTGGAATTCATTACATGAGAAGGTGCCAAGAAGCCCATGGATTGCAGGAAAAGCCCTGCCTCCATTTTATTCATCCTACTATTTAATCCCAACTCTCCCTGCACGATGCTGTTTTTTTTGTAAAGGTGAGACATTGGGCAGTCATGGCCTAATAGTTAGAGTGTTGGACTTGTAATCCAAAGGTCACAGGTTCGAGTCTCGGTACCAGCACAGATTGTATGTGGGGGGAGTAAATGACCAGTGCTCTCTTCCAACCTCAATACCACTGAGGTGAGACTCTTGAGCAAGGCACCAAACACCCAACTGCAGCCCACTGCTCCGGGGGCTGTGTGTGTGTGTTCTTGGATGGGTGAAATGAAGAGCACAAATTCTGAGTATGGGAACACCATACTGGGCCACATATCACGTCCTTAAAGTTGCAACATAGCTGGTATAATCAACAAACACTGGATCTTTCTTTCGATACTTGCTTGAACATTGCATCCACAGGCAATTGAGGGACATGTCCAAACATGAGCTGGAAAGGTGCATAGCCCGTTGTCTCATGTATTGTTGAGCTGTGAGCAAAAGTCAGAGTCTGAATTTGTTGTGGGCACTTATCCTTAGCTCTCAGGGGCAAGGAGCAAAGCATATTTCCTAATGTTCGGTTAGACTGCTCCGAGATGCTTGATCCCAAGTGTCTATTTTCTGATCTTGCATTCCATCTTGGGCCAGAAGAAGAACCAAGTCTCACCAAGTGAATTATTCTAGCATGTCCTTGTTGACCAGCAAGATTGTGAAGGCCATGTAGAGCTTTTGTACCATGCTCTGAGGTAAAACACATTGATGTCTTTTCTGTCTGCTTATTGGGTCCTTAGTTACCCTGTACAGAATCCCATCACACACTTTAAGGTGATGCCATTGTTGACAAGGGCCAAAGCCCTGTAGTCAAGTTTTACTCTCTCTTGTCTTGAAGGGCGTCTTTTTCTAAGTATGAAACGAAGAAATGGTAGGGTCAAGCTCTTGGCTTCTTTCCAACTCATCCTGAGAGAACATAGGAAGAGGAACTTGGCTAGTGGCTGCAAGATGCTGAACTGACTTCACCAACTGAACCGCTCGCGTCACTGTCGCCATTTCCCAATCATCTTGGGCAGGGTGCGAACTACTGGGGAGCTAGGGGGAGCTCAGCTCCCCTTAATAAGACATGGGCTCCCCTGAAAACGTGATTTGTGAAATTTTGGGGGGTCTCAAAAAATATTGACAATGTGTTATTTTAACGTGCAATTTCAGTTTTGTGTAATGTGATCATTGTGGATTATTATGTGTAAAATTGCAAAAATATCATTCATTCATGCATGACGGCGATTTAAACCTAATTCACTTCAATAAAGATAACTATACATGCTATTCTTGTCATGAGCATCATGTTTAGTACATGTTAACCCAAAGATTAGTAGAAAAAATATAAACGTTGAACTCTGTGGTCGATTGGTCAAGTGCACGAACCGAATTGTTCACAGACATTGAGTTTTGGCTTCGTCATAATATACGTAAGTGGACTGCTGTCAGGTCAGACTGTGAAGCTGTGCCCCTTGTGCCAGTGACTCTTTCGCACACACTCTACTTCAAATCCAGAAACTCTAGCCTGTGCGCAGGGTACTTCTGTGACATGGTCAGGGTCTTGCTGGCAAAGGCAACAGGCCTAGCTATTTCTTCCCCTTCTGGAATTTGGGAGAGCACAGCACTTAAGATCAGAAGGACCAAGTCCACCAGGAAACCTGAGAAACAGGGAGAGGCCAGATAACAAATACTACTATAAATTTGGAGAGAGCCAGGGATTTTTCTAACAGGAATGTTTTGAAATACTTCGTTTTAATCTCTATCTTTATTTTAAATTTGATAAGAGACAAATGCATAAACAAGGATAGGAAAATGGGTCCCTTGGGAGTCCCTTGAGCACTGTTCATCCATCTTCATGTGACTGATCTTTGTTTAGCTCTACGTTGTGTGTATGGAGGAACAGGACCAAGCAACAGGAATTACTCAGGCCATATTTTATTCTGCATGAATGAAAGAACACATAAATCAAAACAAGCTTGAATCTGTGGCCTTCTCTCACATTTGTAATGTCAACCTATCAGCGAAAGGAATTTTGTTATTCACACAATCTTCATACGTTTAAATAGGAGTAAAGTGCATTTTAGAGCAAAATTACAATAATAATAATAATTTTTTTAAAAGTCATATTAAACTTTTTATACGGAGCCCCAGCGAAACTCACCTCTGAAGGAGAGCAACTGGAACAGAACAACTCTTAAAGGAACCACGTACCATATTAACAATACACCAGCCACTGAAAATAAACAAGAAACATGACATCTCAAAATATAAAATAACTGATAATTGCAAAGGGAGAAATTTTGCAATTAATAAGTTAATATAGCACCCGTTACATTTACCAGCCACTAAAATAAGGTACTGTAATAGGCTAATTAGTGTCAGGTCCAAGTCCACTTTGTCAAGTCTTAGTTCTTAATTACTGGGTTTCAATGGGATATGTTTATTAATGTCTTGTTATAATTACTATGTCCAAAACGTCATGTGAAGTTCGAGAATAAGTCCACTTGAGTATTTTACCATACTCGTCTATTTACTCGAGTATTTTACCGTAGCCGAGTTCATACTTGCAGTCTGAGTCTTAGTACCCCAATCTTTAGTAATAACCGTTCAATCATTTCCATTTTGCTCCTATTGGAAAATGAATGGTAAACATACTACTTCACCTTGAGTAAACAATCATCGTCACCAATTGGACATCACATAAGCCCGCTTCATACTCACACGAGAACAAACAGAGCACATCCCTCAAATACGCGCATCCTCTATTACTGACTGATCCATCTTTATACTTGTTCATGAATGATATTGCCTTCACTGTAAAAAAAAATTCCACCTCCTGCAAAATAAGTTTGATGGACTTTAACGTTAGTGTATCACAAACACTTTAAATAGCTGACTCTCTCTGGCACAACTAAATATTAGATTTCAAATGTAATGTGCTCGATCTCGATTCACATTTAGGTGTATATCAGTCCACCATGCTGACTACTGCTATACTTTGAGTTCTTCGGAGTCACATCACTTGGTCCTTACATCCATTAGTCCTTTTTCCTTACATGTTCAATTGGTCGTCTTTACTTTTTAGAAAGCCAGTGACTGTAAGTACTGCAAACTTATGATGTACCATCAAAACCATACTACAACATTTACACATCCTTGGACTGGAAATCCCCTCCAGTGATTAAGAACTGTAGGGGACGGAAAAAGAAATTAAAAGTTCAACAAGTAATTAATTTCTTTGTTTTGACATGCTTAAGAAGTCATTTGTGTGTACTTTTCCGCACAGTATGTGGTTAGTACACACTGCACCTGGCAATTTTCTCTTGCACAGATGTTCAGTTTAAGAGTTTCACTTTTCAGAATTTCATTGTCATTGGAAGCACCCAGTCCAGTCTGGTTTTATCCTGTATCTTGGTCTCAATGATCTATTCATGTATTCAGCAAAATCACTATTCCAAAGAGGTTTTAGTCTGTCAGATTACAGACTGCCTCTGTTCAATGCTAAACAGTCTATCAGAACATCTTCAATGAACAAAAGCAGACACAAAGACTGATTCTCTTACCACAAGTTTTTTATTCAGGCAGTACAGAGAAAATGCAGCATGTTTCCTGATCCAGTAATCAAGGAGACACACACAGGCAATCGAGAGCTAATTACAGTGACCTGAAATAAACAAGGTGTTTCGTGTATTCTGTATGTTTTTTGTTTTTTTTTGCATTGTTGTTTCTAGATATACCTTTAAATCGTTGTGTAGTAAATTGTTGACCGTGGCTTTATAAATTGAATCTTTGAAACAAATATTTGTAAAAACATATTATTTGTTTGAATTTCAAGACAAGTCTACAGATTTATGAGCGAACCACAAAAACATGTTACATTCTGAAATGCAGATGTATGCGATTGCCACCTAGAGGTAAATACAATGAACAGGATGGGTTCTAACTTAGTTAATTAAACTTAATAGACCTGATTTTTAAAATCAAATGACAAACAACTCTTAACGAATCAGTTCGTAAATGCACATTTAAAAAGTTTTAACATAAAACACACACATAATTTCACCTGCTACCAACATTTTGGTGCAATTTGGCTGTCACAACACTTAATAACTATATTCAAAATCTGCCTCTTTTGTGGATAGTACATGGGTAGTCATGTTATTTAATAACAGTTTCAACATAAAGAATGAGAGTAAACCTCTCAATAAACCTGAAAATATTAACCAAGTGGCTAAACATTTTAGTATTTCTTAAAGCACCTAAATAATAGGTCATTAAAAAAAACAAACGCCTGCTTAATGCTGTTTCTAACTAATCTCAAATATGCATTTATGCCATCAGGAAGTAAAACGAATTTTTCAAAAAACAAACAACTCTAGACATAAGTGACATCCAAATGACTGTTTTTAACCCAGTTTACAATCTTGCAACTTTTCTGGTTAATTCTCACCCTGAGACTAGTGCCAGCTTCTAACCTGATTGCTCGATTCATAGTGATCGACTGAAACCAATAGTCTCTACAAATCATAGACTCCTTAGCACTTATAATCTCTCTCTCTCTTTCATAGTTTCTATGCTGCTGTGTGACATTGACCACTAAAGTCAAATCTGTACCAGGCTCACACTGGCCATAGGCTGTACGGTAAGAGATCCTAAGATTCATCAAATACAGGCCCTCTGTGGAGATGTGGAGGACTGTTTGGTTTTCCAGCTTGAAATTTTGGGAGTCATAGCCATCATCCACGTCCAACCACTCGATGGGCTGTTGTTCTGAACAAGCATGCATCTGTCTTAAAGCTGTTTTAAGAGAGACAATAAGTCAAAAGACAAAACACTGTAACTTGACCCTAGGTCACAAAAATGTTCCTATGGTATTTCTGAAGACATAGAGCTTAAATTACACAGTATTGTTCTGACAGGTCTCTCAAACTAAATTCAGGGGGTCTTATGTACATATCATGTGACTACTTTTTTGATGGTATAATGACACTTAAAATGAATAGCCTACAGTAGGCTACATTAAGTTCTTTTTGACTAATTTACCACTAATTAAACGTACGTTCAAGATGAACAGAGTGTCCTATTGGTGAATCTGTAGTTTTCAAAGCCTCTTGATGAGCGCCTGAGAATGCTTCCTGAGATGTAGAGAAAAACAGACAGTTTTCAACTCCTCCCTTATTTTGACTAATTATTGGATGCATTTAATTATTATATTTAGTTTGATATTGTGGCTGTTAATCATTTTGTACGTTTAAAATCAAAGAATTTCGACTTATATTTTACCGTAGTATTTTGTTGGTGAAACTGTATCCACACCAAAGTCGCGAAGAACGTTGCAAGCAACAGCGCGGTGGCCACACGCAGTCGTGTCTCCTGACGCTTCATGGTTTGACAGTGCCGCATCAAGACCTGCAGCATCTGTCCCTGCTCCACGCCAAACTCGAACGTCTCAGCTTGAGCCATGTGCACAGATAATGCAACCACGTTACTGGGTCAGGCTGCCAGTGGCGCTGTTATTTATAGTTCATGTGACGTTGAGCACAGACCGCCCTCTCTCCTCCCGTCGGGAGACACCGTTACTCATCGCGCGTCTGCATGTCCAAACGCGCTGGACATCCGGCTTAAGTTAGTCAATGCATCAATCTGGAGGAACCCGCTTTTGTTCAGAGGTTTCTCTTTCACACATAAAGACAGCGACTCCGTTTATTTCGTCATTTGTTTGAACTTTGTCCTTGGCATTTCTTTGAAAAATAAAAACCCCTTTAGAGACGAGCGGTCACTATTAGCTTATGTTGCATGGCAGAAAAAAAAAACTATGCGAAGATGCATTAGTCATAATTATAGCACTTAGGCAGAGATCAGGGGCCAGTTGCATAAACTTTTAGCCATCATGTTAAGACTGTGTTTCAAGAACTACTTTGACCAACTAGCAGTTGCCAAGGGGCAATCAGTCTTACTTTTCCAATACAAATAAGACCAATCTACCTTCTCATAACTGAATTAAAAAAGTTATGACCAGTCTTGAAGAAAAAAAAAATTAGATGACTAACTTTTTAAGAGTCTAAACAGTTTATGCAACCGGCCCCAGATCCCATGGCATCCCAAAACGACACAATAAACAACATTTCTCAAGAGCAATTTTTGAAGGGGACACAAATAATACAGCTAAAATTGTACTTGTAAGGATACACAGAGGAAAGCCTTACTAAAATTAGTGCAGCAGGGAGACCGTGCCAAATTAGACAACTTCAAGCTGTTGTGGTCGTGCTGCGACAGAGGTCGTGTCAGTTGTAGACATTAGTATCCGTCACAGTGTTGCCAAGTCCGCGGTTTTCCCGTGGAATGTTGCCGCGGGTTTTTTTTTTTCATGTCCGCGGGTTGGAACGGAACGCGATTTTAACCTTGGGACCCCCTCGAAACGCGTTTAGTTGGGGCTAGTTTTGAGTAACAATTGGGCGAGTTTTGTTGTGAAAACCTGGCAACCCGCGTTTCTTGTTACAGTGAAATTCCACAAGCACTGGCAGAGTCAAAAGTAAAAATTTTTATATTATATATTGAAAAATGCAAATTCATTCTCTGCCAGCAGGTGGTGCTTTTCGCCAGGAATATAGCCGTTTCCCCCATAACCACAGTAAACAAAGCAGCACAGCACCTGACTTTGAAACTTGCAGTGCTCATATTTAATCAATTAAACCATAGCCTTTTGAAGTGTAAGCTATATCTCAATTTACATGTATATTTAGTTTTTTTAACTGGAGCACCACCTGAGTCTTCTCCTCCTCCTATTTCTACCAGTGATCATTGTTTGTTTCCTTCCCGCGGTACTCCCTCCGCACATATCAATAGCATCACCGGGCTGTAGGTTTTCAAGTTGAGGGGACAAATGGGTTGAAATTTGTATGCGTCGATCGTGTGAGAAAGATGCGTTTCATACAAGATCTGGCAACAGGACAACCTTGGAATTTGTTGTCGTGATTATTCATATAATGAGGTTTGGCCCATACAAATTATAGGAGTTTTACCGGAAGCGAATGTAGCGAAAATATAAAATACGCATAGTGGGATTTTTTTTAATAGAAAGATTAAAAATACGGGAGAAATACGGGAAAATATTTAAACGGGATGATAGCGGGATAGAATGGTAAAATACGGGAGAATCCTGGGAAAAATGGGAGGGTTGACATTTGTGGTGTTTTTATTTTTCTTGTTTTTATTCATTTATAATTATTTATATAATCATTTATAATGATTAGCCTTTTATCAAATTTATCATTTGATTATTTTATCATTTTAATTATGTTAACCTTTATTTACTTATTAGGCTATTTTTATTACGCTTTTATATTCATATTATTTATTTTTTTGCTTATGCATTTTCATTGTTTAATCTTATGATTGTGGGGTTTCATGAACTGTTTCATCTGTATGAATAAGAGATAAGAGTGAATGTTTATGGAAATTCAGGGTGCTGGTCAGACAATGGTCCTAGCATTGAAACATACGCAAATACAGAGTTCTGGCATGAAACTCTAGATGGAGCAGTCCGGTAGGTCTAACTCAATCTGACCTTATGACATCATTATCACATGGCACAGATGACTGGTTCTCTCCTGTATCAGTAGCCAATGAGCTCGCTGCTCAACATTCAAATATATGACTAGTGCTTGCCATAGGTTGCAGCTTGCTTCAGAAACCCTCCACCTTCTCCAGCTCCACCTGTATAGATCTGCTACGAGGTGATTCATGTATGCTTTATGGGGGTTATTTCATGTATGTTATATTTGCAGCAGCAATATTTCTCACATTCTCACAGCAGCATGTTGTGGATGTATTGGCAGTAGCAAGTCTCGGTACTTGCTCTGCCGCAGCAGCAGCATAGCAGATCTATTCCGCCAAGACCAAATACTTTAACATTGTCATGTACATTACCATGCCAATCCCTCCGAGAGTTGTCATGACAGAACTAAGATTATCCAATAAGCTCTGCTCCTTTTTACCACCATTACTTTGTCTCCTGCTCTTCTCTGGCTTTACTCAGTCAACTCTTGGCTGATAGAAGACTATTAATAGAGTTTTGGGTACGAGACAAGACTTCCTATTAATGGGTTTTGGCTAGTGCTGACAAGTTTATCTGTTAACAGACAAAACTGATATTTTCTGACAGGATCTGGTGTCTGGGGCTGAATCTGATATTTGTGGCATGGTCAGTTATTTATGGACATTAATAAGCAAGCCACCTTTACATGGTACAACTAATGAAAATACAAATGCTCGATGGAAGCTCTACATATTTCAATCTGCTGGACAGACTACTCTGTCCAACTCTTCCTTTCCACCTAAAGCCAGTGTGATCCCACCCTAATGCCTGTGTGATCTCTTCAAGCAAAAAGAGATGGATGAAAAATCTTAGTCAATAACATCCACTCAAATATGATGTGTGATGCAGGCTCATAAATCATACTGTGCTGGCTCATTTAGCCACAGGAAAACTGGACCCCTAACTGAGCCTGGTTTCTCTCAAGGTTTTTTCCTCCATTTCTGTCACCTGATGGAGTTTGAGTTGTCGCCTTTTGGCTTGCTTAGTTGAGGTTTAAAGAACACAGTTCTCAGTAATAGCATCAATTTGACAGAACTAACGTTATCAAATGAGAACAAAACTGAATTGAGTTGAATGACACTATTGTCTTCTGTAAACTTGCTTTATAGCTAAATTTAATTTGTTTAGAATTGACCATTTTTGCAACATCAACTGTCATTGAACTGAATTGAATGAATCTTGAACTGATTCAAGCTGCAAATGATACTAGTGATTAGTTGAGCTGCTTATAGCCGAATTGAAATGAATTGATTTACTTTATATAGTTATTGAACTGAACTGAACCAACACTGAACTGAGACATGATTGTCTTAGAACTGCTTTATAGCAGAATTTGGATTTGTCTCATTTTTGAAGTTTGCATCAGTATACAATCTGTATTGTATAAAGTGCTATATAAATAAAGGTGTTTGTACTTAAGGAAGAACTGGAATGCAGGATTGCTGTAGACTGCACAAACACAAAATTCAGCTGTTTTATGACAGAACCCTATAGGGATTGTAATAGTACTGCAATTTACTAATACTACAAAACGTAAAATGGTAAAGTAAATAAATTGTTTATCACTAAATTTAATTGTAAAGACTTGGAGCGACATTTCTTGACCAATGTGTCTTATAAAGTGTCATCAAAGCATCTATGGAACCGTCCATATGAATAAAAAGAGAAATGATGAAATCCACACTGGACAAACTCTTCCTGGACTTATGAGTCACACTAGGTCACACTAGTCACGCAGGCAATCAGAGAAAATGGTTCAACTTCCTTCAGTCAACATTCTCATGGATGAACAATTTACAACAAAAATCCCCATCTCCTTAGACAACAAACCCTTTATGTAAGGCATAACAGATGCTTTTATTTTTCCCTGCATTATAAGGAGCCAAGACCTATTAGAAGCAGGTACTTGTAAAAGAGGGGTGTAGGCCTGTGGTTATACATTTTTCCATACAGATGTTGACAGAAGGAAGTTGAACAATATGCTCTGGTTGCCTGTGCAAATTTGATTGTCTTTGCATTCTGGTTTCCCCTTAATGTGACTCATAAGTCTACACAGGGTTTATCCAGTGTAACTTTGATCAGTTCTAACTTTTTTTCCCCCCCCATATAGACAGTTGGAGAGATGCTTTGATGATGCTTTATGGGGCACACTGGACGAGAAGCATAGCGCCAAGTCTTTACAATTTGAAAACATTGGACTGTCAGTGTATGCAAAACCCTCCCATGTCACTTACATAGTTATCTATTATATTTGACAATATTTATCCCAAAACGCTGTTCATGTATATTCACCCTAGGCTGAAAGATTATGTACATGCATTTTTAATCCATTTTACCTTATAGATATCTTTTTTAAATCATCAATGCCTCTTAGTTCATTCTTTAAATAATCTTCTTAGATTCCCTGTTTTCGATTGCTGCCTCAAACTTGAGCACGAGTAGCTACGGAATGACATATCTGGTGTAATTATATATATATATATATATAGTATATATTAGGGGTTACACCGACTGTTCAGTTTCTTGCACATTTTGACTCTCAAAGCCGTGATTCCCATTCACTTCCATTATAAGACTGACAGACTGCAACGGTTTGAGTTAAAAATCTTTGATTGTGTTCTACTGAAGAAACAAAGTCACCTACATCTTGGATGCCCTGGGGGTAAGCAGATAAACATCAAATTTTCCTTTTTGGGTGAACTATCCCTTTAAATCTGGAGATTGATTTGATCAATCTAAGACTACATTTTTTTTGCCCTGATAAACGCCTGACTGAACTGGCAGGGTGTATTGGGTCATTGTCCTGATGCAATGTGAAGCACTTTCTGATGAGTCTGGTGACATTTTCTTGAATATTGGTAGCCAAGATGGTTTTGTACCCTTCCAAATTCA